AGGTCCATTCACGAGTGTGAAGGTCCTACCTCCCCACGAATAAGAGGTTCTGTAGATACGGATGTGGCAGATGCACGAGATTGCACGATACGCTAGGGCTTCGCTGCGGCGGAGTACCTGCCTCGCACAAGATAAAGCAATCGAGTCAAGAGACTCAAGAGAAAGAAAGCTAGTCATTGTGACTCTAAGAAACCTCCACAAGAAAAAGTATTCTTTTACAAAATAGTGTATATGTATATCCATCTATACTTATACTAAAAACATCATGTTCATTTTACTGCATGATCAAGTAGATTGCACGAGATTGCATATTGAGTATATGATTGTACGAGATTGCATATTGAGTATATGATTGCACGAGATTGCATATTGAGTATATGATTGCACGAGATTGCATATTGAGTATATGATTGCACTAGATTGCATATTGAGTATATGATTGCACGAGATTGCATATTGGGTATATGATTGCACGAGATTGCATATTGAGTATATGATTGCACGAGATTGCATATTGAGTATATGATTGCACTAAATTGCATATTGAGTATATGATTGCACGAGATTGCATATTGAGTATATGATTGCACGAGATTGCATATTGAGTATATGATTGCACTAGATTGCATATTGAGTATATGATTGCACGAGATTGCATATTGGGTATATGATTGCACGAGATTGCATATTGAGTATATGATTGCACGAGATTGCATATTGAGTATATGATTGCACTAAATTGCATATTGAGTATATGATTGCACGAGATTGCATATTGAGTATATGATTGCACGATATTGCATATTGAGTATATGATTGCACTAGATTGCATGTTGAGGATATGATTGCACGAGATTGCATGTTGAGTATATGATAGCATGAGACTTCTTAGAAATTATATGATTGCATGATGAGTATATGATAGTATGAGATTGCTTAGAGATTATATGATAACACAATAGCTTATTGAGTTATGTGTTAGCATGAGATTGCTTACTGAGATATTTGATGATATGAGATCTTCGATAAGATAAGTATGTGATAGTATGAGCTTGTTGATAAGCTAAATAATTGTGGAAGCATGCCTATTTGATAATTAGGTTGCAAGCATATAGAAACCCTGTTGAGTATGATTAATTGTTGCCGAGTGATTAAGAATGCTTGATGAAACAAATGTTTTCCAAAAGTATATACTGTAGTACTTTACAGGGTTGAGTGGAGTTATACTTAGCTTCGTGCTAACGGGTTTGTTTTCTACTTGTTGTTTGTTAACCCCTTTCAGGTGGGCCCAGTTCGTAAGAAAGAGTACGAGTTAGACTAGACTAGCATTTAGATAGCTTTTGTAGTCTAAACTCTTGATGTTGATTTACTTTTGAGATTTGTAGTTGACTACCCTATGTTTTTTTATGGTGCTGGACACCGGGGTTTTATCCCCTAGTTTGATTGATGATAGTAAGACTTTTAATGATTTAGTTGTTTATCCTTAGCCCGTGCAATCACCGTGAAGGGTGATTGTAGCGGTGACACCTCTATTAAGTTGTTTAGTAAGTTTATTCCGCTGCCTTATCTTATCTTTCAAGGTTAAGTCTGTTAATAAGGTTTAAGAAAAGTGAGGTGTTACAATATCCTTCAGACGAGCAAAGACTATTGGTTGTCGAGCCTATGCTCGTTCCGCCAGTATAGGTCGAGTCGATCAGCCCTAAAGTCAGTTATGGCTAGGAATAGTTCCTCTCGGGTAGCTGATTAAATACCGGATAAGTGTGTAATATGTACATGTAGGTTAGTCAAGGAAATAATCCCCATCACTATTAATAATTAATATTGTTGTGTAATTAATATTCATATACATAAATAGTCATTATATATAGTTTTGTTAATTTGTATTTTTCAGCTTAGCTTGGTATTTTAGAATGTTTTAACACTATAATAGGTTTGTGGATTATGTCTTAGATATATTAGTAAGCTAGCGAACCTTATATCCCATGCTCTTGCTAAAATTACATGCTCTCAAGACTTACTAGGGAGTTTGAGAGGTCTCCTCTCATTTGTGTATTAAAATATAAGATTTGCCAAGGAACTTATGATTTAGTGACACCAAGTTGTTCTCCTATATGAGATGTTTTTGGTACTGTATTGTAACAGAGTCATTAAATTATTTTACGTCAATAATATCACTGGTTTTCTTTTATAAAACTTTATAATAAAAGATTAATAAATAGTAAAAGTTTCAATTTGATCATTATTTTATGATATTTGCCATTTTGATTAATTTTACACAACTGCACAGTATTTAGATATCAATAACTGACTTTAATTTCATTCAATTTAAAATTTTCATTATAATTTATAAACTTATTATTTTTATCTTTTTTTTTTTTTAATCCAGTATTGACAAATCAAATATTGACTCACAACGTATATAGCACTGTACCAATATTTTTATTACGATAATGCAACATATATTAGCGACGTATTTAGGATATGTTTTTTTTTTTGTTTTTGTTTTTGTTTTTTTTTTTTCCTATACTTGGACTAAAATTCTTAATTTTGACTAATAAAACTTGATTTCTTTTGTATACTTTGTTCTCAATGGAGCTGAAACCATTTTATGTAACCCAACAATCATGAATCATTTGTAAATTCTATAAAGAAGAAAAAAAAAAAAAAAAAAACCTAGCCTCAAAGACATCCACAAAATTATTCGTCATAATAACATAAATTCAATGACAACTAGCAAGTCAACCCATTATATTGTAGTGAAGTCATATGAATTGATTTGTGAGTTTCTAACATACTTTTATTTATTTTTAAATTTTTAAATGACTTGTGATTTAATTAATTTCTAAAGTATTATAAAAGAAAAACAATTTATTGTTTATTGAAAAATTACAAAAAAAGTCCATGCTATTCCAGAATTCTGTTCATATACTTTCTCAACCTACTAAAATACAAAGAGCCAATACCTTCCAAATGAAAGTCCAACCGGGGTACCATTAGACCACATAGTCTTGGCCCACAAGAGGTAGTTAAATCAACATTTTAATGATGATTATGGGGGTGTTTAGTAAATAATGGTTGTTAGCTGATTGAGTTAGTGGATCTGACTGGTTGATAGCATTAGCTGATTGTTAAAAAACGTTTGGTAAATTAGCTTTTAGTTGATTACATACAAAATGACTTTCTAAAAAAGTTGATCGAAAAAACTACTTTGAGCAACTTTTTGAATTTTAGCATTTTGGAGTAATAAGATGTTACAAAAAAACTAATTAATCAAGCACTCATATTGATGTTTAACCAAGTCAAACAACTAATAGCAGTCAAATAAGTCAAAATTGGCTGATATGCTAACTATTTTACCAAATAGGACCTATTATATATCTACTAATAAAAGTACTAAGACGTTTATCAATGGGAAATGATATATGAACCTTTATGGAGTTATCAAATATCTGCCACTATTTTCTTCACATAACACTTAAGTATGGAGTAAAATATGGTAGACATTGAGAGTATGCGTAGTTTTACTTTTTAATAAACAACTATCAAATATTTTGAGTTTGAATTATGTTTCTTCAATAAGTCAACTAGCAATCATATATTGCGATTAAAACACTAAATAGATATAACTGCATTCATAGGGCTCAAATATGATGTATCTATTTAAACTAGAAGAAACCTGTGATGTCGTTCACACCACAATTCTACATGAGTTTTTTGTTTGAATTTAATTTGGACAATCAAATAACATATTGATGGAATTAATTGATCTGAACTATGAATGGATCAACTTAGCTCGCATAAATTAAAGGGATAAAATTGATAAAAAAAAAAAAAGAACAAAATATTGTAGTAATAGTAATTGGATTTGCTTTCAAAAAAACAGTGATTGGATTAATGCAAGAGCAATAGAAAGAATATTTTGTAATAATTGAACATAAAATGTCTTGTATTTGTCTTGACCTTGAACATGATTTGTCTAGAATAGTACACAAACTATATATAGAAGGGAAACATAACTAACATAGCTAAAATTGTGCCAGGCTTTAAGAATGGGCCAAAGGCCACGGACCGGGGTGCATAGCTTGGTCCAAACCCCCCGTTATGGATCCCAAGACGGGCTATGGGATGAGAACGCGCGAGTGTCCCAGGTCGCCCCCAGAGGCCGGGCTTCGATCGCATGAATTAGTCCGAGTTGTCTTGTTCTCGATCGTTCCCCTACCCCACCTTTTTTTTTTTTTTTTTTTTTTTTTTTTTTAAACATTAAGTAGAGGAGGGACACTGCGAAGAAGTTAGCTAGAGAATGAGTGCTACATCCCTCATATGGGGAATACTAAGTCAGTCTTCAACCAAAGCGTCCCACAAAACTATCAATTGAAGGGGGACTCTCTCTCCCATTTTATGTATGGGGGTTGGTTAACGAGACTTGTATAGAATTATTTATAATTTAAATTTTTGTAATATTAAATTTAATATTAGTATATAAAATTTATATATTTAAAAAATACATTAAACGTATTATTAAACACAAAAAACAACAATAAGAAAATACTAGAGAAAATGATCAACGAAGAAAAACTTAACTTGATGAAAGAATAATAAATAAGATAAGTAAAATGAGACTGATGAATAATTTTTTGGGTGTCTAGAAAAATTTGTAATCATTACTCAAGTATTTTAAGGACCCGAAGATCATTTTCGGGTAATCACAAACTTACTCGGTCAGTGTATCCACAAACTATATAATAAAAGTAAATTGATACGCTATTACACACGAGTAAGATTTACTTATTGTACACTCTTAAATAACGACTATAACTTTTATTTATCATGCAAAATAAATGGATTATAATGAGTTTAACTGAGAGGAGGTAATAGTATTTGTAAACTAAGTAACAGGATTCAACTTTGGAAAGAATTTAATCAAGAGGGGAGTAACTGGTAACTGGAGTCAAAAACTTTTTGGACAAAATTAGTACGGAACAATTTTATTTTTTTTTTTTAAGAAAAAGGAAAATGGAAGAAATAGCGTCTCTACATTGGAAGTCGCAAAGAGCAAGTAGATTCTCGCAGTCTTCTTCTAGACTTCTACCGCCCTGCTCGCAAGTCTCGCCGCGTCTCAATTCAATCGTATGAACCTGACGAACACCATATCAGGATGAGCATCCAGGAAGTCATCGATGTCGCTCGCAATTTCGCCGTCATGGTTCGAATTCAAGGCCCTGTAAGTTCTCCCCAAATAAGTGATGCAATTATAAGTATGTGCGTGTGTGTGTGTATATATATGTATGTATGTATGTATTCAGCTACTGTGATCGTTCAGAAATCAGAATTGTTTGTTTATCTTATATTAATTGAAAATTTTTGAACCTTTGGTGTATTTTAAGGACCCGAAGGGCCTGAAAATGCGAAAGCACGCATTCCACTTGTACAAGTAAGTTTGTTTCCTCTCGTGTATTTGCTTGTTGTATATAGAACTGGTAGGAGTTATGAAGTTCATGAATATTTTACCCTGAATTGCAGTTAATTGAGTTATTTAATTTGGGAATTATTTGTTTTACTTATTGGTTGTTCATTTATTGCTAAATTTGAGTAGTTCTGGAAGAACTACATTGTCAGCGTCTGGAATGCTTTTGCCAAGCTCACTTGTGAATGCTTCAGTGGCCAAGCAGAATGTGGGTGAAGGCAATTTGCAATCTATGGGAGGTTATGTTTTGGTTATGACTGTTGCATCTGTTATTGAGCCATTTCTTTCACAGCAGCATAGAGACAACATGTCAAAGGTTAAAGATTTATACAGTTTAGTTAGTAGAATTTGCGTATGGTTCATGGAACTTTTATTGTGTTCTCACACATGGCATTTGCTGTTTGATACTTAGCTGGATAAACCAACGTTGATACCTGGTGCTCAGATTGACATTTTGACGGAGGTATACAAATCTTGTAACTAGAGTGGTTTGTTGTTAAGCAATTTGTCACAGATTATTAGGTGTTTGTTGATTTAGGCCATATTCATATGCATGCTATTTTATTTATAGGGTAAGGAGGCTTATGCAACGGAAAACAAGGAGGTTCTGCATTGGCTGCCAGCTGAACTTCTTAAATTGGTAGGTATTTGTCAAGGGATAACCTGTTTCCTTAATCTGATGACTGTTTGCATCTGTTATTTTATTAGAATTAATTTTGCAGAGGTGATTTGTCACTAATCTTTCTATGCAATTCACATTGCCCTGTTCACCACGTGATATGGAATTTTCTTTGCTTAGTACTGGAAACTGGTTTCATATTAGGGCTGGTCCTTTCTTTCTCATTCTCTCTGTTATTGAAAAATATCCTAGCATAGTCTTTTTGGTGTTATTTATGAAGGTTGATGTGGCTACATCATCTACTGCTGTCCAATCTCTGATTGAAGCTTCTTCTGGTTCAAATGGTTCAATAGAGCACGGGTGGGAAGTTGGTTGGTCTCTAGCTTCGTATGGAAGTGGTCATCAATCATTTATGGATTCTGCACGGAAGCAGGTAGTCTTGTTGTAGTTTCAACTTGTCTTCTTTTGTTGTCCATGCATGACTTTTTCAGTTTTTCTTAATAAACCAAATTGTTTTTGCTTGCGAATAAGAGATATTCAGCGATGATGAAAATTGAAATTGATTTAAAGAAACACATAGGGGGCATTTGTCGTTACTGACTAAATGGCAAAATCCAGTTCCTTGCTTTATGAGGTAGACGATTCACTTTTGGCTTTTGTGCCTTTAAGAGTCGATGCTACATGAAAACAACATCATTTTCATAATTACAAACAACTTAAAAGGCTCCACACTACTAGACAATCTGCTTTCAAATACTGTAATTACAATAAATGTAGAACAAAAAATGAATATCTCTTGCTTACTACTAGCTATATCTTCAGGGTACAGCATGCTTGCCAGATTCCACCATAGAGTTAGCTTCAAGTTCCCAATTATGAGACTACAAGGCAAATGTTCAGACATGTCAAAACAGAATTCACAAATGATTATGCTCTTTATAACAATATTAGAAAGGTCAACTAAAATGTTTGAAAGAAAATTCAGAAAATTGACTTCATAGATGTTATATCATGTAACAGGATTTCTCAAATAATCATTTCAGGTCGAGCAAGCTTCTTTCCCAAGCCAAACGTATACTGTGGTGGCAGAATCTAGCAATCCAAGTTTGATGGGCAAATCAACAACCAGAGTTGCTATTCTCAGAGTTTCTTCCACTGAGTATGAGGTATTAAGATTTTTTTTACATTTAGATGGCATCATATACTGTCAAAGGGTGCATGGCATGACATATGGCTGATCTGCTTTTGTTGCTACTGCTGCATTGTGATTGCTGAATTAAGTTCATGTTTAACTCCCATATTATTTCTTATTTAGGGTCTTCCGGAAATAGGCACGTCTCATTTTAATAAGAGGGGAGATCTTCTTCTGTCAATTGGTTCTCCTTTTGGCATCTTATCTCCTATTCACTTTTTTAACAGGTATTTACTTAATATGGAAGTATATTGCATATTTCAATAGGTTATGAACTCTATTGTTTAGTATTTTCCCATCTGACTACCAAAACCATGATGTTAAAACCACATATGAAGTAATAAACTAGCTATATGTTACTCTTATTAATATTTCTTCAAGTCTAATTATTTATGTGGTTTGCCTTTTACTTCATACCCTTACTGAAATTAGCTGGAATTGTGCATTAGAACTTTCTTTGAAATCCAATTTACCTAAGTCTTGCTTATAATATTAGTTTCGCCTGGTTCTTTATGGATTCTTCCTATGCTCCACTTTCTTGGCTTACTGATGGAACAGTGTATCTGTGGGATCCGTTGCCAACATTTACCCATCTAGCAACTCACAAAGATCATTGTTGATGGCTGACATCCGGTGTCTTCCTGGTATTAGAGTTTTCCACTTTTCCTTGTAACTTAGTGTTCTTTCATGAATTTCTAATATTCTGAAACTATGATTCCATTCTTACTCATAATGTGTTAGGAATGGAAGGTAGCCCAGTTTTTGGGAAACATGCAGAACTTATAGGTATCCTATCAAGACCATTAAGGCAGAGGACTAGTGCTGCTGAAATTCAGGTAAGCACATAGTGTTTTATTCTCTTTTTTAAATCACCCTTGAACTTGATAGATGTCTGTGCATCTGATCCACTGCCCACGAACCTCTCAGAATTGACACTAAAATGTGTAGCTTTCTATGCCAAGACTAGCATACACAAATTTGCTGCACCCTTTGATGCTTTCTAGTCCAGGTATTTGAACCTATTATTTAGTGTACTGTGAGAGAGTATTTTGATTTTCAGAATAGGTGTTCCTTTTTCTTTTCCCAGTGCATCCCTATGTGTTCGTCTGTGCATTTTGTGCATTTACTTTTGGCTTTTACTACATTAGGTATTTTTATCGCCCATTGTGCTTTCTTTAAAGCTGGAGGGAGGGTTATTCTTATTCTTGTTATTTGGTTACAAATACAGAATACTTGCGTAGCATAATAATGAAACTTTGGGTGACAGATGGTTATCCCTTGGGAAGCTATTGCATCTGCATGCAGTGATATGCTGGAGAAGCAGCCTCAAAATACCTGGAATGGCATCAACCATGACAATGGATTCTTGAGTGCTGTGGGAATGGGGACCGAGGGTGGATCCATAAAGGACATCCATGGGTATCTCTGTGCAGGTCCCCCACCATCATCCTCAATTGACAAGGCAACAGCTTCTATTTGTCTTATTACTGTTGATGATGGAGCATGGGCCTCTGGTATTTTGCTCAACAAACAAGGTCTGATCCTTACAAATGCTCATCTTCTGGAGCCATGGAGATTTGGAAAGGCATCTGCAAATGGTGAAGTACCTAAGACCAAACCCAAGGTTGTTTTTACACCATATGATCAATGCAAACATCCAGGTGACAAAAAAGTTAGCATCAACAGTAGGGATCAAGGTTTACCGCAAACAGGAATGGAACCTGTGGATTTTTCTCTTAAGAGAAGGCACAAAGGGTTTAGAGTCAACCCGGAAAGGTCAGGCAATAGGAATATACGTGTACGCTTGGATTTTATGGATCCTTGGATATGGACCAATGCGAAGGTTGTTCATGTTTCCAAAGGACCACTGGATGTTGCACTACTGCAACTTGAGATTGTTCCAGATCAGCTGTGCCCCGTTGTTATGGATTTCACTTGCCCCTCCCCTGGATCAAAGGCATATATTCTTGGACACGGTCTATTTGGACCACGATGTGGTAAATAGCTCCTGAACTCTGTCTCCCTAAAAAGGCCAAGTATTCCCATCTTGTATATCATTTGTAACTTACAATTCTGTCTTTTGTTTAGACTTCCTTCCATCTGCTTGCCTTGGTGTGATAGCTAAGGTAGTTGAAGCAAAGAGGTCTATGCACTATCAGTCCACTCAACAAACATATTTTCCTGCAATGCTTCAAACAACAGCTGCTGTCCATCCCGGTGGTAGTGGTGGAGCAGTTGTCAATTCGGACGGGCGAATGATTGGCCTTGTGACAAGGTAAAAGAATACAACCTATCAGGGATGATTATGTTAACAGCAGTAATTACTGAATGTTGGCATATTAGTTACGAGCATGGATGTTAACAGCAGTAATTACTGAATGTTGAAACAGTAATAATTATTATTTGAATTACACATCTATCAATTAAAATGCTTCTTAATGTCCAGTTTAAAGAACTGTTTATTTATTGTTTGCACAGCAACGCCAAACATGGTGGAGGAACTGTTATACCGCATTTGAACTTCAGTATACCGTGTGCAGCTTTGGAACCTATCTTCAAGTTCTCTGAAGGTATTTAATATTTGCTATAGCCCGAATTCATAATTTCATACTGTCATCATAGATGGCGAGGTTCTACTTTCCCAGAAAATGAAAGACGGAAAGAATTTTGTTTCCAGCAAATCACCCTTTATTTAGAATGAAACTTAAACTTGGCTGTCAAAAAAAGTATAATTTTAAAACTTAAAAGCAGCCTAGATCATATTCTACGGGTTTGGGATGGAAACTTTGTTTCCTTCAACCTGGATATTTTTAAGAAGTTTGTGTCCTCGCTAAAGAGTTAATTTCAGCAAAGATCCTCTGACTGTTAGCTTTTTTCGCAATTTGGACAGATTTTTTCCTGGACTATCAGAATCTTTTTACATTTAATCCTCCCGTTGGTTTAGCATTAACTAGGTGTGAAATTCAGGGGTAATGTAGGCTATTACACTTGAGTGCGGTGCACCTTTTCTCTTAGCCCAAAAAAAATTGGACTCCCAACACCCAGAAAAGGCATGTTTTGAGTGAAAAAAAAACCTACATTGCCACTGAAACACGCCTGTTAACGTTAGACTAACAAGAGTACCAAATGCAGAAAGATTTTGATAACCCAGGGCAAAATTTGTCCAAATTAATAGATGAAGACCAACTGGAAAAAGCTAATAGTTGGAAGAACTTTGCTGGAATAAACTCCCTCACTAAATTTTAATTGAACTTGTTTATAAAGTTTTGTTCTATACATGAAAGGCAATGAAGTGAAGGGCATGAAAAGTTTGAGCCTTTTTTTTATGTGCTATTTTTCTAACAGATATGCAGGAGTTATCCCTGCTGGAGTATCTCGACAAACCAAATGAGCAGCTATCTTCTGTGTGGGCATTGGCACCGCCTTTATCATCCAAACTAGGCCCCTCTTTACTCGACCTACCTCTACTTCCTCAAGACGGTGGTACTAAAGATATAAAGGGCTCCCGATTCGCCAAGTTTATGGCTGACAGAGATGAACTGCTGAAAAACACACCCCAACCTGACAAACCCGAAGGCTCTCAAACTAAATTCATTTCCAGCAAGTTATGATAGTCCAACCCCTCTGAACAAACAAAAAGTTTCGATACCACTGTTCAGATTCCATTCCTTGTTGGGATTGAAACACAAATTGTATCTTTGGTTGTACTCATGAAGCATCATCGATTGGAGGAAGATTGGATATGCGGTGGTTTAATTTGTAGCAGCCGCCTGAATGTTAGCAGTAGAGCAAACCAAACCACATATGAGAGATGAACACTGTACTATAGTAGCAAAAACAGGGCTTTCTTTATATTCTTATTGTAATGTCATTGTCAAATAAAGGGAGGGGAAATATGCTTTTGTGTCTATTGTAATTTGTACATTGGTGATGGCGTGATGCAGTAGATGTTTGTTATACAGGTCTGGGTTCATGGAGTGCTCTTTCCATTCATATATTATCGATTTTGTTACCACTTTTAGTCCTTCAGCTATTTTCAATTTTGATTGGTGACTTTATTAATCTATTTTAAATTTACGATTTTTTAAAAACGTTTCACTTTGTGTCTTAAATGTTAAGACTAAGAAGTCGATTTGTGTTTTTCACCAATTAAATTCTTAAAATTCGCCAATCACAAGTATTAAGCCTAAGAAGTCGTTGCTTTGATTCTTTAAATTTTTTTGGTCAAGTAGCTTGTAGTTCAATAACACTATCTCTTTAAAAATATTTAATAGTGTATTTACAAATAATTTATGATATACTCATGCTTTATAATAATACACTATTAATTATTTATAAATGTATTTGATAGTGTAAGTACTCTCCGGTATACTTATTAGAATACAAATTGTAGAATCTTGCTTAAACAAAATCGAGGGTTGAAAGTTCCCGATATAAATACTCAAGAGAGAGAGAGTAGCTAAAGTCCTTTAATAGGTATCAAATGCAGTATTTTACTATTTATAAAGGTGAGAAAGGGACACATGCCAGTCTTCGACATAACTAACACGTGTCACACATGCCGTCGACACACACCATTAGGTGTGAGTAATAACATCTACACTATTCAGAAATACACCATTGGAGGTGGTGAGTTATATGGTGTATTTTTTTGAGTCTGTTGTATATTCTGTGATGTTTTATTGCATTTCATTGTGGTGTGTTTTTTTAACACTGTTGGTGTATTCTTGAATTCCGCCGCACGGAAAGACCTCGCTGTATTTGAACTTTATTATATATATATATATATATATATATATATATATATATATATATATATATATATATATATATATATGGGACTTGTGGTCGGTCAAAATTGGGATGAACTCCTCTTGGTGAACTTACCTAATACCGAGCAGGTATAAGAAACATATGGGTAAGTACACCGAAAAAGATTTCCTATGAGTACTATTTAAACATTTCCAAATACGTATCATCTTCTTCCAAATACATCATCTCCTCCCAAATACATCATTTCCTTAGATATAAATAAGATATGCACAATTCACAAAATTACTAGTTCTATACGTTTCCAAAGATATAAATAAGATATGCACAATTCACAAAATTACTAATTCTATACGTTTCCACACAGAACTACTCATGTGCTACTAGTTTGATCTCATTTCTAGAAGTTCTCACGAACTAGTAATTATTATAACTGCACATTCTCACAAGCTACTAGTTCTTAACGTCTTCACAAAACTACTAATTAATATTAACTACTAATTAATATTATTTAATTGCACGTTCTCACAGGCTATTTATTCACATTTAGTAGCACTTAATTAAAAAAGAAATCTCAAATAATATTTAGATGATATGGATGGTAAACATGATAAAAATGAAACATCATTAGAAAAACAAGCATATAATATGTTTATGGGAGTGATTTACTACTTAGAAAACAACATATAACATAATAATAATAATTAACGACATATATATATGCCTATATAGAACCACTACTTTTTCCCGTTTCAGAATTTATTTTCACCGGCACGCCGCCTGAGCTCCACCACATCCTCGTCCATCGTCTTCCCAACATCCTCCGGCGGCGACACCTTCCTCGGCTTGGTGTGATCTTCAACGTAGTCCTCCACATCCTCCGATTTCCCCACCACAGTTTCCTTAATCTTCTGACCCGTCTCCTTCGCCGCCCCCCACGCCCCCTGCACCGTCTGCTTCGCCTTCTCCCCTATGCTCTCCGCCGCCTTGTTCGCCCCCTCCTTGGTCCTCTCCGCCGCCGCTCCCGCCGTCTCTTTAGTCGTGTCTTTCGTCCTGTTCGCGTACTCTCTCGCCTTCTCCGCCGCCTTGCTCGCCCCCTCCTTGGCGTCGTGAGCGTACTCCTTCGCCCTGTCCTTGGCCGCCTCCGCGCCGCCCTTGGCGTCCTCCTTCATCTCGTGGGTTCTCTCCTTGGTCCTGTCCGCGGCTTCTCTCGCGCTCTCTCTCGTCTTCTCCGCCACCTCCGCCGCCGCGTCCCCCACGGTCCTGTCTCCCCCATACCCTTTCTCGTAGTCTCTCCTCTTGTAATCCTCCGATGCATGAAAACCCTGCTTCAATAATATAATTGCACAACAAATTTATATATACATACATACTTTCTGCTCTTTCCATTATTATCTACAAAACTTCATGCACCTGCTTCAATGCAAAATGAAGTAATAACACAAAATCTGAGACTAAGAAGAAGCAATCCAACTATCAGCTTAGACTTTTAGTTGAGATCGTTGCAGCACATGCTTCGAGCAAATACAAGAAATTTTTGAAATATCCAGTATATATATATAAAAGATAAAAGATATTGGAATAGGTTATGTTGTTATATATACCTGGGGGGAGGAGGCTGAGGAGAAGCAAACTCTGGAGAATTTGGGTCTGGGAGAGAAAGAAGGGGATGGAGAAGCAGTCTTAGAGAGGAAAGAAATTATGGCGTTTTTGGTCATAGACGACATGGCTTCTATATATGAAGGATCGGAGGCGAAATATAATGAAGATTGATCAGATTTTTGTACCGTATGTGTTAGTTTCTGCGATAGATATGATTTTGGGGAGGAGTGGGGGAGAGCTGAGGGAGGTTTAAATTCATGGTCGAAGAAGATGGAGTTGAAAGAGGGGACAAGTGGTGTCATCTCCAGGAGATGACACCTTTGCATGAAAATGACACGTATCTCACTGGGGTGCATGACATGCCATTTTTGGAAGGTTGGAATTATCTATCTATATATATATATATATATAAGAAAATGCCACCTTTGCATGAAAATGCTCCGGATTACAAACTCATAATTAATTTAAATTATGCACAACATAATGCCGTTAACGGAAATAGAAATTAATTTTTTGTTTTTTTAAAAAAATCGGACGTTAAAACAACGTCGTTTGCAAATATAGTGCCGCACATGGTTACACAGCATAACGCTTCGTGATAGTTCACCTCCTCCTCCCACGTGCTTGTCTTGCCGGCCCATCAACAGTGCAAATTATGCTGTGCAACCGTGTGCACCACATAGTTGCAAAAATGATGTCGTTTTGACTAAAAACTCGCGTCCCACTTAAAAAAAAAAATTAGGTTCGATTCCCGACAATAGCATTTTTTTGTGCATAATTTGAATTATATATCCACAAATTTATAACTATATATCCACAGTGAATGAATAACACAAAATCCAGAATGAATGAACTAAATATCCATAAATTCATAACTATATATCCACAAATTCATAACTATATATCCACAATAATGCTGTTGAGGGGAATCGAAACTGAATTATTATTTTTAAATAGAACGCGCGTTTTTAATCAAAATGACGTCATTTTGCAACCGTGTGCACCATACAACACAAAATAACTATTGCATCAACACCTCCTCACCCACCTTGGGCCACCATGACCTTAGCCCAACAAGAATTCTACCCCCTTAGGCCTAGAACAAATAGGGCCGATGGACTATTATAACAACACTTATACCATGGACCCACTTTACAAGCTAAACCAGATCAAAATACACAATTTATATACTGAATGTTCAAAATTTTTACGTACTGAATATTCACAATTCAAAAAGTGGACGTCCACAGAATAATTTGCACTATTATAAGTTTATTTTAATAACTTAGCAGTATAATAAAAATGAAGCAAGGAATATTGTATGCAGGGAAATGTATACAACTCATTGGCTAGGTAACTTTCTAAAATGCATTCATCTTTCAACTGTTTAAAACATACATTAGCCCAAACCCCACACTAAAAACTGCAGTAAATCCAGTAATGATGCTTACATACATTATACATACATGCAATGTGATGCATATATAAAGTTAGAGAAAATCCCATAAAAGATGGAGTAATATATGTATCAGTTCCCCATAAAAGATGGACCTCTGAACTGATACTCTGGCTGCAACTGAAGCTCTCTCTCTTTCAGATATTGCAGCAATAATGGTGGCTGCTCTGATCTCACCTCCATACCAGTGCCACACACATAAGGGGATGGCCTTTGGTACCCGAAAAGGGGCTTATCTCTTCTCTGTTCGTCTAGGCCCGGGATGAGAGGACCGGGAAGCATTTGTGGGCTCTCCAAATACAGCGCTGCTGGGCTCGAAGCCAACGGGTTCCCCCACTGGTCTAAAAGATCGTACCTTGCCATGTTAGCTGCATTGAGATTGAAGTGAGATGGCCAGAAGTGAGTGTTGGATCGGTTTCTGTAATGGTATAGCCATTCGGACGAGCTCATCCCTTGCAGTGGCGAAGAATACCCGTCGAGAAAACTTGGAGGAGCTCCTCTCACGAGATTGAATGGTCCCCCCCGAGTTGCTTGCCAGTTCGGGTATCCACTCATTGGTGATGCCCCGAGAATCCCATCGCCTTCCTTGCTGCCCTTGAACCACGAGGCATCTTCGGGTAAAAGCGGGGCAGAAGGCACTGGACTTACATAAGGTGGAGGAGGAGAATCGTGAATTGCTGCAGAAACGTGGGATGAACCAACTATGGGGTCTTTAGTTTCGGTAATCGAAAGGGCATTGAAGGGTTCGGGACTGAGAGTTTCGTTGTCAATGACCCACGCCTTGAGGGATGGAGGTCCAGCAGGGTAAGCTGACGACGAGTCTTTCAAGACACTACTCAATCTCGGGTTAGTGGTATCAGGGTGGAAACTGAAAGTATCAGTCTCTGATTGGCTTTGCCCGACAAAAAGCGAGGAGGCACGACGCAAGGACTCATCGGTTTCCTTCGTTCCTTGAGCAGAGACACGATCACTCGAGGGGGGGCGGGATGTAGAAGCAGGAGCTGAGTTATGTCTTGTGATAATGGGCTTAAAGAGAATGACTTCTTCCTCCTCTGCAGCCACGTTTTCTTTGCCCGGGTCTCGGGATTTTGCTACCAAAGAGCTGAATCTTTTACCAAAATTATCAAACACGATCCAATTACGCACCAAATCACCTGACCTTCCTGCAAGTTTAGTCCCAACGAGAAATATACGTCGAGCTCTAGATATATTCCTCCTACAGAAGTTATCCAAGCATTCCCGATGGCCCGTGAAATCCAACTTCACGTGTGCACGGGCCATCGGGTCGAACCCCTTCAGCTCGTGGTCCTCCCAGAGAGCAGTGTTATCTCGAGCAACTTCTTCATTTCTAAGATCAATCCGGTTCAGAAGATCAGCAAAGGCACCGAAAAAGTAAGACATGGCACTCGTGACCCTTTCATCTCCCGTGTGAGCTTCTGCTCTTTCAAGCGTGTTTTCTAACCATTCAACGAACACCAGCACAGCGGGTAAGAGCGGGCAATCTTCTAACTTACCCCCGTTGCTCATACATCGCTCGACGATGCGGCCCGTGCAAATGAAAGTAGCAGTTAGTGCCAATTTAGTCAAGCTAGACTCGGGCTCGGGCTCGGGCTCGTTATCCTCTTTCTGCACCTCCCCCCCTTCATCACTCTCGGTCAGGCAGTGGATGATGAAGATGAAAATGGTAACGAGTTGAAGGGTACGATAAGGGCCCTCTCTCGATAGATCCATAAACTGATACGATTCGAGTGCAGCCTTTAGGTCTTCATCACCTAACCCCATCAGAGCTTCTAATTGTCTAACCGTGGAAGCAAGCGTGTGGGGAAAATCCTCTAAACTGCATCATAAAAGCGTAAACTAGAGTATCAGTTGGATCACCAAGATGGAATATTCGAATCATACAATAGAAATGGATGATATGTTTCTATATATATATGTACCTGGATCTTAATAGAAAGAAACTTATCAATCTGACAAACAGGCGCCATATATCAGATTTTCCCGAGGAAACACTTTCAGTGCTATTGTCATTTGACGAACCGTCACTTCCTCGGGATCTCGTACTCAAGAGTGCTTTTTCCGATGGTTTTAGCAAATCAAGGTGTGCCTCGCTCGAAAGGGACTGGAAGTGAGATGACCTGTTCTGCAGAGTAGAAAAGATAACGGGGAACTAAGAGTTGAAGTTCTCTAGAACGAGAAAAGGTTAATAATGTATGTTTCGAATTTCTACCCTATGATTAGGAAAAAGTGGCATAAATACCTAACTTACCTCCTCGAAGAGCAGCATAAGGTTATTCCAGGCATCGGGAAAAGGCTCCTTGACAGCCAAACTCCTTACACAATGATACAACGCGAGGAAAGGATCACCAACGTACGTTGCCAAGAGTGCAAGCTGCAAATGAGTTTACATCTTTATATTTAGATAGTATTGTTGAGTTTGTCTCATATAGGGATCAGGAATATGTGTTTGTCTCATACAAAGAATAGGAGTGAAGTGGTTTGGGTAGACCCATTGTATAGGGATTAGATGTATATAAATACATTTGTTGTATCCCTAGGTGTTGTCTGATACATAAATCTTGCCTTCTTTACTTTTCTGCCATTATTATTGTTTCTTGTTCTTGTTAATCTCAACAAATTGGACTACAAAAAGTCAGGAATGATACACTCGAACTCTTCAGGAGTTGATGGGATTGAAGCAAACGCTTTCCTATCGATTAAATTACAACCTTTACCCATTGATGTCCTACAAAAGCATATTAGACTAGCAGAAAAGCATGCCAAGGATCAAGAAGATGATGTCTGGGTACCTGATTATGCGGGTTTCCACTATCAGGCCATATCCACGATGCTTCGAGATAATAGGTGGCTGCATCTGACCACTTACAAGCATCATGTTTCTTACAAAGTTCATTGTACCTAGCGAGATCTCCGAGGCAAACCAAAAAGCGATGGCAAGCATATTGGCATTGAGGGAACTTCGTAGGTCCCGCCAAACACGAGGAGGCATCACCCTTCTTTCGGAGTAAGAGTTCCCCGGGAAGTCCACACGTTCTTCTAAGTTTCTTAACTAAATCCCGATAAAAGTCACTAGCTTCAGCTAGAAACGACTTGAACCCATCCGTGTGTTTATCGATATCGTGATGGGAACTCGTATCCTCCTCCGAACTTTCACTTTTCCTTTTCTCCGCATTCGATTGTCGTATCCATTTCCGATACTCATCGATGTGCTTATAGTGAAGCTTCCATAAAGAGAACTCAACTTCTTGAAGCCCCACCACTTTGTAATCATTCAAAACGATATTCTCATAGCTAGCCCGGGCCTTATGGTAAAGCTCACGGACCTCTTTATGCAAGAGACCTTTAGAATATATCGACGCCAACAATTGTTTCTCTACGCTAGCAATCTGGGAAGGCGGGAACGACAGAACAATCAACAACTTTGCTAAGATAAGGAGCCCTAAGCGGGATTAAAAACAAATATGAATCAATATATCCAGATCACCTCGAGAAGAGCATTGAGCTTTTCCTTTTGATCTTTGAACGAGGCAGCCTCTTTGGTATTCATGGCCACTACAAACAAACGTCTTAAACAGGAGGATCGATCAATCTCCTCGTTATTATACCTAAGTAAGACTAATAAAAGATTAAAAGATCAATCACACACTAAAACAGATCATAATCAACTGAAACGAGCATTTCCAAGAACAGATTATCTGCAAATTCCCTTATTTCTGCTATGATAATGACTAATATCACTACAAAAACAGCTTAAAAGAGTGTAATTAAGGCACATCATTAGCACAATATCCAAAAAAACATAACATTAAACCACATAATCAACAGAATATCCAACATTAATGATAGTAAAACAACAAAACATTCAACCTATTTATGAAAATGCAGTGACTTGAGGTAGCATTTCCACATAAGAGGGAACAAGGGGAAAACCAAAAGCAAAACCTGAGAAGACTTCAAGATTATTTTGTATCACAACATCTTTAAGCCATCAAACAAGAAAAAAAAAAAAAAAAAAAAAAAAAAAAAAGGACACAAATACCCCCTCATCAATTTTATTTCAAGAAATTAATATTTTCAAGATAGAAAAGCATGGTGATCACCATTCACCCATCACACAAGAAATTCTTGAAGAATACAGCTTGGGATTCAAGCAAATTGGGGAATTCTTACAACCCATAGGTTAAAAACAAGAAACAAAAAGATTGCAATTAACATTGGGGGAAAAAATATTTGTTTAAAAAAAAATTTAAGACGCAACCCAAGTACCAGAATTTGATGAATGTTTGCTTGAAAGTTGAAAAACAGCATAAAAAATTGATCAGAGGGGATTAAAAAAAAAGGTAATTTGATGAGAAAGATGGGAAGAAGCATTGGAGTGAAAGAGATACCTCTAGAGAGTTGAAGAATCAGCTTATCTTCTAAGCTGCTTACATTTGTGATTGGAGAGAGGTTAAAAGAGGTCTTTGCACAGTGTTTTTGTTTTAGTCATGAAAATGGTAAACAGACAGGTGGGAGGAAAGGTGGCAAGTCTTAATGAGCGCTTTTCTAATGACTAATATACCCATCTCTCTCTCTCTCTCTCTCTCTCTCTCTCCGCAGCCACTATCTAAATTGCACTATGAAATTCCATGAAAGTGTTAAATCGGTTGTTATACACATGGCCCTATTTGGTAAAAAAATTGGTGTATAAGTCAATTTTGATTTATTTAACTATTATTAATTATTAATTGTTTGATTTAATTAAAATATCAATATAAGTGTTTGTTTAATTAGTTTTTTGCAACTATAAAATGCTAAAATTCAAAAAAGTACTTCAAACAACTTTTTTAATTAGTTTTTTTACAAAAGAAATTATATCAAACAGCTATCAGCTAACGTTAATTTAGCAAACACTTTTCTATAACAGCTAATGTTATTAACTAATTATACCCTCTAATTAATACAATCAACTAACAGCTAACAATTATCAGCTAACAGGCATTTACCAAACAGGGCCATGAAATGGTAGAAAAAATCGATAGACACTCTTCGAACACTCGGGATTTGTATATTTTTTATTTTTTTAAATGTATTTAAAATTTTTTAATTTTTTAAAATTGGATAACTATAAATTATTTAATACTTTAAAAGTTAATACTAAAATATTAAAAATTAACCTAAAAATATCTAGAATTTGAACAATTTAAGCTTATTTCGCTCAAAATGATGTCTTTTTGAGTGAAATAACTCATTTTAAAAATGAAACAAATAGCTAATCGACCGACTAGGCGGCCTAATTGGTGTATAGGAGGCCTAAGCAGCGTTTAGGCGGCCTAGTTGGTCGCCTAGCCGGCCAGCCGCCTAAACAACCGATTATGGTGATACACTAGACGCCGATTAATCGGTGTCTAGACGAGATTTTTGTAACAGTAGACCCTGGTCCTAAATTGTGTATTTTTAGTATTGGAATTGTGAACTTCTAGAATATAAATTGTGTTTCTAATACAATACCTACAGGGTCATCAAAAATTGTGAATTTTTAAAAAGTAAATTGTGAACATTTAGTCATTTAGTATGTAAATTGTGTATCTTTGGACCCGGGTCCATCTTGCAAGGTGAACCCTATCCACAAAATAATTTGTCAGTGTTAGCAATAATCAAACTCGTGACTCACGTGAACAAAAATTATTCTTCACTCACTTGTCCACCCGACTGACCGATCCCCCTTTAGAGGGAAATTCCCTATTTTTTTTCAATTATAAATTTATTAAAACTTAAAAGATTCATTCACTTTTACTATTAAATCATTGAAATTGTACTAAGTATTTAATATTTAATGATCATTAAAAAGAAAAAAGATGTATTAATACACAACTTTTATCATAACATTACATAAATTTAATATTGGTTGGAATTTAACTAATACTTCTTTTTTAGATGATATCATAATTGAAGGTGGAGAACCATCACCAAAAGTCTATAAGTTCTATCCCTTCTCCATCAAGCTAAACCTATCAGAGTATATTCACTACTTTTCTCTTATAAAATTATTTTATTAATTTTTCTGGGTCTTCTTTAAACATTAAATAATAATTGTGTGTATTCAATGATTATAGATTTTTTTTAGTTTTTTGGAAAATATAAAATACATATACTTGTATATTTAGAAAATTAATTAAAAAATAGAGATTGAAAAGTTGGAGTAAGGAAAAAAGGAAATTGAATAACGTAATTAATATTTTTATCATTATGAAATTAATTTGTATTCATCTCGAGTCACATCTGTATTTTCTAATCTCATTTGATTTTGTTGTTGTATCAATAATCTGCTTATCAATTGCACCAAATTGTTAAGTTAGTGGTTTCTTTTGATGGAGACAAAGTTTTAAACTACTAAGAAAGAAGGATGAGTTTCATGGTAGTTTGCTAGTCTTATAGGATCACCATCAAATCAAATAAACTAGTTCAATAATGTTGACTTAAGGTGTACTTGACTATTCAAAATAGACATAAAGAATTAGATATAGTCTTGTTTGAATTTCATGGAAATTGTTTGTTCGAATAAAATCAATGAAAAATAGTAGAATTGGATAGTTTGGTACGAATTTCATGGAAATTGTTTGTTCGAGAAAAAATCAATGGAAAATAGTTCTAATAGCAATCGCTTACAAATTAAAGACAAAATTAATGAATTGAAATTATTAACATAAATGTAACAAAACTAGGCTCAAAGTGAGCACATCTCCTTTGTGCTCCAATACAATCATTATATCGTGCATTAGGGCGCACAATGTATTGTGCGCGCTGCTCAAAACGACGTCGTTTTCTAGGTAAGAGTTTATGTATGTGTATTCTGTTAAGAGTTTATGTGTATTATGTATTATGTTAGATTATGTGTATTATGTTATGAGTTTATGTGTATTCTATTATGAGTTTATGTACATTCGAAACAAGGGATTTTTTTTTTAGAAGTTAACGGCAAAAACGGGAAACAAAATTTCTTTAAAAAAAAAAAAAAAAAAAAAAAAAAAGAAACAGATACAAAACGACGTCGTTTTGGCCAGGGCGCATAATGCATTGTGCGCCCTGGTGCACGATATAATTTGGCGCACCAGCATTTGGCTTGTCTGCTGACGCAAATTATTCTATGAACCTGGGCCCAAATGTTCACAATTTACCTTTTAAAAATTCACAATTTGTATACTACGAACACACAATGTTAACATAAATGCAATTGATTACCTTGTTTTGTATTCACAAGTTCTTTTCAAATACTGCAGTTACACAATATTAATAGATTAGGATTTGATGACCATGTATTGTGTTCACAAATTTCATGTGTTTTGACTTAAAAACACAATTTATATTCTAGAAGTTCACAATTCCAATACTAAATGTACACAATTTATACGTCATTTAAGACCAGATAACAACCTGTCTGCTGAGTCATTCAGTTACCGTGATTTACATCCTCTCAAATGCTCTATCGGGTCGGGATGTGGGGGGCCTTGGGGGGAGAAGAAATGTAACAAAACTACATGTTAAGTATGGCAGCAAAGCGTTGTGTACTCTTTCGTTTTGGATAATGAGGTAAACTCACAACCACTATTTGAAAGTATTGATAAAAATTGAGCTCATGACTTTTAGGTATAAGAATTATATATGTTGCACCCATTTAAGCGTTAACCATCCCTTTTGAAGCATTATATGTACTCTTCCCTAATGTATTTTGCTTGACATGTCAATAGCTTATAAGACTACTTATTTTTATTTTTTTTCAATTAACCCTTTAATAGTATAGGAGAAATGGCATGCCTGCAAGTGTTACTTACATTTTTTTTCTAAATATAATATAAGTCTCGATTCATATATATAATTGTATGAATTTTATAAATACTCATCATAAACATAACATACATATCCTATATCATTACCCTAGATACTATGTCGATCAAGTTGTTTTAATTTCAATATTTTCATGGTATATTTTAATTTATTGTAAAAAAACATTACCATTTACTAACCTGTACATAATTGTGCAGTAACTAGTATTAAAATTAAGTGTTTATATTTCAAATACATGTCAATAACAGAATGTTAAATTTGACCTTTCAGACCTCCATCGAACTAGTAATATCATATGGAGTAAGATTGAACTACAATTTCTAATTAACATTATGCAATATGTCACTTTTATATACTTATGGCTTGACTCCAAGGGTTGATTTGTGGCCTACTTGTTGGTTTAAAAATGACTTCAAACAAAATTATTTACTATAGATGAAGATTGGTTGGCCATATACATTATGGTTTCCATTCCCACCCCATATATGCATTCATTAAATTAGTATATGCGAAAAGTCTTCACTTAAGACTTACATTTAAAGATAATGTGAGAGTTTAATTGATTCCTGTCACAAATATTGGAGGATTTGATTTGAGTTAGACTCTTTTTGCTCAGAAGTGTATAATTTAATGGTGAATTTCAAAATTAATGTACTTGGGACGAGTTTATGGAGTCTAAGATAATGGGATATAATCTGGCGAAACCGAGAAACTTAATTATAAAAACAAAACAAAACAAAAACAAAAACAAAAACAAAAACAAAAACAAAAAAAAAAAAACAAAAAACATCATAAGATAACAACATAAATATTTTGTCAAATATAGAAATTTGCCATCCAAGGACAATTAATAGCTCACCTAATCCATCTGGTTTTATCTTTGGTCCCACTATCCATGAATGTCTTGTGAATATAGGGTTAATGTGGTTCATTTTATGACCGTTCAAATAACTAAATGCATAAATTTTACTGACAACATTATTTTTTATCAAACAAATTAAATAACACGAATAGCATTAATACATTGACTTTTTTTTTTAATGCTATTGACTCTATTACCATGTAGTATCTGTACATAACTACTTTTTCAACCTATTGGAACATAAAGAGTCAATATCGCCTCCACTAAAACGATAAAATATTGACTTTTATAAAATTATTATTATTATATTAAAAATGAAAAATATTGATGGTTTGCTTTTCTCTTTGAAATAAACCTTTATGAAGATCCATGAATCACAATCCGTATCTCCTTATGGTGTTTCGCCTATGAAAGCGCCTTTCTTTTTTTCTTTGGGCATCCATCCAATGCATTCTTTTCGATCGTGTACTAAGGCACATTAAATGTTAATCCAATCTTGACAAAAAATAAAGTAAAATCAAGTAGATCTCTAATTTACCT